CCATATGCCCATATATATTAAGAGAGATATTAAAGGCGGAAGGAAAAAATTACAGTTGCAGGTAGAAGGAGGTTGAGACAGTGGGACAGGATGACAATGAGCAGAATTGGAGAAAGAAGGAAGAAACGGAAAACGAAAAGAAAAGAGAAATTAAAGAATAAAAGTCAAAACTGGCTTTAACCGGTTACCTTGCTTGCTTTCCGGTGAATATGACCAGTGAGAATGTTTTTGCAAAGTAGATGTACTTAACTGATGCTTTTATTAGTAAATGAGTTTATGTGATGGATTCGTGATAGTTGAAGGGCTTATTTGATCCTTTTTCCTTAATATTAATATACTCTTACGTTATTACTATCATGTATTCGATAACTTACCACTTATAAGCAAATTTTCACTTATTTAAGAGAGAAACAAAAGCAAATTTTCACTTATTTAAGAGAGAAACAAAAGCAAATTTTCATTTATTTAAGAGAAAAACAAATTATCACTTGCTTTTACTGTGCTCACTAATCTAATACATGCTCTTTGTTAAATGTCAACATCCTTAAATTGTGATGAATTTTGACTTTATGACCTCATCCTTGAGAGTGTCACACTGAGTCATCAAACGGGATTACGGGAAGGTGTTTACCTTCCATTTTCCGGTTAAAAATGTATTCTAGTTTGCTCACATGTCATTGAACGGCTAGATGATTAGCTCACATTTCACTATTTAAAAAATGTATTCTAATTTGTTCACATATCATCAACGGCAAGGTGTTTAACTCACATTTCACTATTAGATCACTCAAACGTGAGTCTCTCTTTATCTTTATCACATTTCTTTCTCTCTTCTCTCTCTCTCACATCTCACACAAACTATAAGGGGATTGTTTGGTTATGGTCATATGGAATTTCAGGGAAGATAAGAGATGAATTGATTTAAATTTTTCTAAATTATCTCTCTTTGTTAATTTTAGTTTTGTTGAAGTAATTATATGATTTACCTAGACGATGTTCTTTTATCTTTTTCATCTTCACTTAAATTTCCAATCTTCTTAATAGAAATAGTTTAAATAATGTATATCATCACTCCTCTTCACATCCTCTAATATCCTTGAACCAAACAAAGGGTTGCTGTTGACTTATTAACGTATACGAAGTACGATCTAGTCGTCTATCTAGATTAAAATGCAACTAAGAAACAATTAAAAAAACAAAGTCAACCAAGGCAGTGAAGGCACTATAATAAATGAAGACGCATTATTATACTGCATTACTAATTAAACAATTAGACTGGCAGATTTGCTTCTAAGTGCCAATCCCAATTTGTCCAGCCGTCGCAACAAATTATTTAAGGCCAAACGCGTCTCCCAAAAAAAGGCGGCAGGATAATAGCAGGACGGGAGGGGGGGGGGGGGGGGGGGGGGGGCTATCTTAATTCTTAACAACCTTTTTCTGTTCCTCAATTCCTAAATACTAGGAGCATAAAAGTCCTTCACAACAAAAAAAAATGCTTCTAAATAAAATGCTTCCTAACAAACTCTCCTTGTACAGTTGTACATGTCATATACGGAGTAATAAAATTGCATTAATTTAGTACTGTTACTTTTTTCTTGTTTTTTTATAGACTTTTCCTGTTGACTTCACACGTAAAACAATACGTAGGTGCTTACCTATCTATCTATCTATATACAGCCAAACGGATTTGGTTAAATTGGTCTGGTGGTTGTACTTGTCCTCTTCTTCCCAATTCCCGAGCAACCCAAGTTAGAAACTCATTAGACGCATAAATCCTCGCTCGGGTTTCTTGATGAGTATTCGATAGTCCGATGTTCCGACCCTCACGCTTCAAGCCGCTGTGGGAGCCTGAGGGTTTCTGATGGGAGCGTAACGAATAACGCCTCGTGATTTAACTCCTTTGTCGAATTCTGCAGGCAAGGACAAGGGGGCATTTGGTTTTCTGATGTGAAGCTTTTTTTATGTGTGTGGATACCAATCTAGAGAGTAGGCAAATAGTTACACATGATGGGGAAAGAGTTAGAGAGTTATCAAATGGTATTAAAGTCTCTTCCTTGTGGCTAACTACCACCTGCTGCCCAACCAACCATATACTACTACCCACACGCTCTTTAAATGAACCCCCTTAAGAAAATACATCCACACACCACCCTCACTGCAATAACAACAACACTATATAATTTGCTTTACTGCTGCATAACATACCTCCTCGTGAATTCTCAGCCGTTGATTTGGGTTCTGGCCTTGCTGCTCAATCTCATCATCAGCCATGTATATGAAAGGGGATAGAAGTGTTTGTGTGATGGATGCTGCAGGGTGTGTGGGCTCCACTCTGGTGAGATGCCTTCTGCTCCGAGGCTACGCAGTTCATGCTGCTATGCAGACCCATGGTTGGCTTTCTTCTTCTCTGTTTCTTGATTTGGTGGTTTCCCTCATAAATGACAAGTGATGTTTCTATTACTGCTACATGTTTGATTATATATAATTTCTTATGGCTAATCAAAAAAATCTTTTTTCAATAGTTCAAATATAAGCCACAATTGTAGTAACTTCAGCCTATTTCTACAATATTCACTCTAAACTAAGCTTCACAACACACTCTGGCAGATGATGAATTGATAGAATCCTGGAAGAGGGAATATGCTGCAGAAATCAGTAACAGCAAATTGAAAGTTTTCCAAACTGACCTCTTGGATTACCACAGCATATTGGAGGCAATGAAGGGATGTTATGGTTTATTTTACTCTTTTGAGCCTCCATCTGATTATGCTACTTATGATGTAAGCTTCATCTTGCTTTCCCCTCTTTTTCTTCTACATCTGATGATCTGATGCTGTGATGCATGATTGCCCAGAGCTTTACTGAACCTTTTTTCCCCTTCTTTTATAAAGCTACACAAATGATTCTTGTTTCGCTTTAGAGCCTTTTTTTACTATATGACATAGAGTGTGATTCATGATTACTGATTAGATCTCAGGAGCATGATTAAAGTAATAAAACAAACAAGTAGTACTAGTAGTAGCATGAAGCAGGCAATACAGTTAATAAGATGATGTTTGACTGTTTGGTGGAAAGTCAAATAAGGTAGTGTTTGGTTAGAAAAAGTAACAGTTGATGAAAAAGATGATCTGCTGCAGGAATTCATGGGAGAAATTGAGGTGAGAGCGGCACACAACGTGGTGGAAGCTTGTGCACACACAACCACCATAGACAAAGTAGTTTTCACATCCTCCGCCACGGCAGTGGTATGGGCCCAGGATTCCGTCCACCCTCTTGACGAAAGGAGCTGGAGTGACATCAGCTTCTGCAAGAACTTTAAGGTACCAATAATAGACATCTCTAACACTATTAGGGTGAAATGAGAAGAAATGTAGAAAATATGGAGCAAGTTGCTTTGCCATGTTTAAGAAGTAAAAGTAAGCATTATTTTCCATCCTCTTGTATCTCTCCAATGTGCAATCATCATAATATTTACATTTTTTCCTATTTTTAAATTTTGAGATCTATTTTTTGAGCAAATGTATAACATTATGACATTATAATATTATGTTCCTCAAAAATCAACAATTTAAATAAAAATTTAGTTACTTTCCTTTCCTTACTTATTTTACTAATAACTTAAACAAATAAAAATTTATTTTCCTCACATTTCTAATTTTACCTAAACAATATAAACAATAAAAATGTAATTCTGATTCTGATTGATAGCCTCTTACAGAGACCCCAAAAAAATCGTGTAAATTGTAGACATCATCAAACTGTAGTTACATTGGACCAAAATTGTGTGCAGTTGTGGCACAGCCTGTCAAAGACAATGGCAGAAAAAGCAGCTTGGGCGTTGGCAATGGACAGAGAGGTAAACATGGTGTCAATTAATGGAGGTTTGTTAATCACGCCAGGTTTGAGCATGAAAGATCCATACCTGAAAGGGGCAGCAGAGATGTACGAAGGGGGCTTTTTGGTAGCAGTAGATTTAGGGTTCTTGGTTGACGCTCACATTTGTGTCTTTGAGGACGTCGCATCTTACGGAAGATACCTATGCTTCAATCATGTTATAAATAGCAGCCAAGACACTACTAAGCTTGCCAAAATGTTTTTATCAATAGACCCTACACAACATCATTTATCTCCGGACTCTATTCAAAGGTAAGTGCTATTCATATGTACATTTATGTTCTTATTTATCCAAAATGTGTGTTTTGACAATATTATAACACAAACCTACTAATGCTTTCTTGAATGAGAACATATCAAGTTTAACCTGGCCTACGATAGTAGGGTCACTTTGACGTTGGGATTAAGTAGGGGTGAACTTGGAAATGCATAACTAAGCTCTCTCACCAAATAAATAAATTGGACTATCTTTGTAATGTGGAAGGAGTTTCTAAATCTGGAGAAATGGTCAAATCCCCTATTGGAGATTATAATTTACTTAATTTCACCTCTGTACATTTCAAACTTTGGTGTTATGTAATATGCCAAATTGCGACTATTTATTCCTGATGCAGTTTTTCTATAATCTTTACAGCATGGAAAGTGAGGATGATATAGTATATCAGCAAAGCATAAGCAACCAGAAACTAAGCAAGCTCATGTTAGGCTTTGAGAGTGAAACACTACAAATACATGTATAAGGGGCAAAGGACCTAAAGGCTAAATAAACCGGCATGAAAGTTCTACGGTTTGATCCACCAAACACAGCAAATTACAAGTGATGAGAATCTTGCATGATAAAGAAACATAGAAACTCTCATACACAGTTATATATTGATACAGCCACATTTCATCACATGCAGGAGTATTCTTTCTTCCTTTTTACAACAAAAAAAAGGAAATGGAAACATCATTTGATGAAACTTGGGTTATCCCTTGCAATGTATTTCACCACACTTCCCATAACTGTATATGTAATTTTGAATCTTATTTGGTAGCTATCACTGTGTTGATATATCCGGTTTAAGAATATTGTGCCCCGAAAGTGATTAACTGGCTTTTGCTTGAATTGTTCCATATTATTTGACTCATTACATGATGCAATAGCACTTTCACAGTATGACTCGCAAAAACTAATAGAGACAGAGAGCTGTCTGTAAGTCAGATCAAATGTATATACAACAACATTCAAGCCTTAGTCCCAAAAGAGTTTGGGGTCGACTAACATGAATCGGCATGTAAGTCAGATCAGATGTATATAAAGATAGAAAACTGACGGAGTACCATCTTCATGTATTAAATAAAGAAAGAAGATGCCTCACACGCTGAGTGACATGTAAATAACTGAAGATAACCTATAATTTTTTACTTCACTATAACCTTGACATTGAAATAGAACCTCTGTGCTAGATAGAACACAAACTTTCTTCCACTCAGAAGCTGAGGTCTCTTCACCATGATAATCTCGGGGTGAGTACAAAATTTGAATCTTTGAAGGAGCTGCATATGAGGCAGCAGGTATTAGGCCTCTCAGTTATCAAGTTTACTAAAAGAGACAAAACCCAAAGTAACATAGCACTCTCCAAAGCATAGCAACCATGTACAGATGCTATAATACTCTTTAACACTACTCTCTATTTATAAGATGTTGAGGGGAAAATGTGTTATGTATGGTGAAAAGTATTTTTTTTCATGGATAACAAAACTCTGGACCAAACAAGAAGACAAATGTAACCCCTTTGATTAAAAGTAACAAGGAAAAAAGTGAAAAAAAAAGGACATTGGTCATTTTACAACCACTCTGACCCAAATTTGTTTCTATTTTAGCCAAATCATTTTGTCTGAAAACAATATCTGGTTTTCAGATTTCAATGCATATTTTTAAATAACCGTATAAGTTTTCCTAAATTAACTCTTTGCATTTAATGTCAAATTTCAATGACAGTGGATGAGTCATTTTGTATGGACTATTAATTTGATTGCATTTTCTAAATCATCAATACTTTTGGGGAAGAGCGAGTATACTTTCACTTTATTAGTTTGCTAAATTGACACTTTTTTGAGAGCAAAATACCTTATTGAATAGACAACTATTTGAGAAAAAAGGGAGTTCGTACAACATATATGAACTTCAGAAGGGAATTCATTAGCTAAGAGAGCATGTGTATATCCAAAGTTGAATACAATACCTAACCCATATGTGCTTGTATTTTGGATAGTCAAGCGACTAACTTTTGATCTCTTTACATTTCGTAATGCCAAAATATCATCCCTCTTCCCTTTGAATTCCAGAAACTCGCCTAGGAGGCATTTGTTGTTCTTAAGCTCTAGTCTGCATGTACCCAAAAAAGATTTAACAATAAGAGAAACAAAAGGACACCACAAAAACACAAGTGTGCCAATTGCAAGCAACATAGAAGTCACAACTGACCGATCCCACATTGGAGCTGTGCTGAGAATACAATTAAGCTTCTCTAGCATTGCTTCCAGCATTTCTTTCTTCCCAAAAGGAAACACACATTTAATCCACCTGGAAAGCAAACTCCTATCCTCTGGCATTGGCTGTACCAATTGGTCATATGAAATCACCTCAGATGGAAATGAGTTTGGATGAAGAGTTCTGCAAATAGAAGACAATCTGCCAGCTTATTCTCCATGAAAGACAAGTGAATGTAAATCTTGAACTATATGGGGTTAAAATTACCAAAAGATACCAACTAGTTAGTATAGTTGTACACTTGTACAATAATAGCACAAGGACTTTCTATCATAATATGTAGATTACTGGATTTTCACAATGTATGTAATGCAATAGATGATCCATCACTAGAGCAAAGAGAATACAGAAACCATGTTTTACAAGTGATTCTAAAAGTATGAACATTCCAGCTGCTAGCAATTCTAGCCCAATATAAACTGGTTTGGAAGGTTAGGAATGACTTGGAAACTAGATGCTGTGTAAGAATGTGTGGGTTACTGATTGTATCTTTGGACTTTATATACAATTGCTACTCCTAAATAAAAAGTTTAGCTTTTAAACACCAACTTTCGAAAGAGACATTTCATTTTCATTTACCCCAGTGCCGCAAAGGCTCCCACCTATGGTGGGGTAGGGGGGGTCGGATGTACGCAGTCTTACCCCTGTACTAAAGCACAGAGAGACTGTTTCCAGATGACCCATAGTGAAAATCCCGTCCAAAATTGCATGGACTGACTGCTGCTTCATAACAAAGAAGCGCAGATAGGTTAGTGAGCCATTTTGCTTTATTCCATCATAATCTCAAGCCAAAAAATAATGAATCTTTGGCTCCATTGAAAATGATGGAAAATTTAAGTGCTTTAAAATTATTTTGAAGCAAGAGACGATGGTTTAAAATTATTTTTGGCTCCATCTTTTGGCTCCAAAAAATAATGAATCTTTGGCTCCATCTTTGGCCAAAAAATAATGAATCTTTCGAAAGAGACGATGCTTTAAAATTATTTTTTAACCACTTGGCTTACATATATTTGAAAGGACTTGCCCAACAAATTTAAGTGCTTTGTCATCCAACTACAAGTCAAGAAGTACATAGCCACATTCACAATGATGAATCAAGTCATCATAGATAACTTTTATTAAGTTAACAAATACTCAAAACAGCTGATGCATACCGAAAATTGGGATTTGGACATATGACTTTCCAAGACAAATATCCCTCTGGAAAAAGGAGTCCCCTTTGCTCAAGGTATGACTCCAAAATAGGAATTAGTTGTTTCGTTTCTGCTACCTGCAATAGACATGCATGAGATAAACGACTTTAAAACACAACTTTACATGACACAAGTGCAAATATGGGTAACACTACATGATTTGCAACTTACAGGATCTGGATAACGCTCTGTCTTATGTGTTAGTCCACCAGTGCAAACCCAACTACCATCCTTGTCGATATTCACAATACCTGAGACATTCTTCACAGAGATTACTGCTACTTCCCTGAAATCCTGAATGCATTAGTTAAACAGAAAGGAAATGAATGTAATGTTAGAAAACCAAAGAAGTAATTGGCATACAATCTTTCTATACCAAAACTCATAGAGATATGGAATACTATTTTGTTTTCATTGTTATTACTCCCTCCGGTCCTTAATTAACTTTACACTTTCCTTTTTAGGCCGTCCCATATTAAACTTTACACTTCTTTATTTACCTTATTTGGCAAACAAATCTACAGCAAACAGTGTCAAACAGTGTCAAACAGTGTCAAACAGTGTCAAACAGTGTACTCTACGTAAAGTCAAATTTATTTCCTTAATATGTGTGAAGTCAAAGTGTAAACTTGATTAAGGACCGGAGGGAGTATTATAATTCCCTCCGACCCACTGGTTTTTTCTCACTTTTCTTTTATGATTGTTAGATATACAACATGTAATAGACTAGAAGTACTTTACTTGAGCAACACACTATAAAGGGACTCGGTTGTTATTGAAGTTAGAAAGCTTTGTAACCAACTATAAATATATGTACTTAGCACTATTGTATTTAATGAGACATACATAGCAATTATCATTTCAGATCTCCTCTTCTCTTTCTAATATGGTATCAGAGTTGTAGCTCTCGATCCAACAATAGTATCCTCTGAATCAAACTCTGCTACCTCCACTAATTCCTCTTCCATCGTCACCTTCACACATCAACTTCCAATCAAAATCGATGCTAACAACTTCACTTTCTGGAAGCATCATGTTGAATCCATTGTACGTGCGCACAAACTCCTTCGATTCATCATCAAACCTGAAATTCCGAAACAATTTCTCTCCATTGATGATGAAGCAGCAGGAATTGTTAATGAGCTATATGTTACCTGGGAACAACAAGATCAAATGTTGTTTTCCTGGTTACTTGCATCATTATCTGAAGCTTTTCATGCGCGGGTGATCCATTGCAGACACTCGTATGAGCTCTGGAATGAGATCAACACGTTCTTCAGGGCGAGTATTGTAGCAAAGGCCAGACAGCTGAAATCCGAGCTATATACAACTGCAAAAGGTGATCGCACCATTTCTGAGTATCTTCTACGAATTCAAACCATCGCAGACAATCGCCTGTCCATTGGCAAACCGATTTCATCTAAGGAACACATCAATGTAATCCCTAGCTTCATCGATAGTCTCTTGCAGCGTCCTCGATCCTCCAACCTTGTCAAAGGTTGAATCTCTCTTGTCTGCCAAAGAGGTACGACTTCAGAAGCTTCGTGAATCATCTCAGACGAATATTATGTCTGTTAATGTTGCTCGTTTGGAGATTTCATTTGCACCTAATCAATCTGCAAGTGAGAATACCTCGGAAAATGCTTCAGTACAAATTGCTCAGTTTGACAACAATGGTAACCCTAATTCTTATCGAGGAAGAGGTCGTGGAGGTTTCACACGTGGAAGAGGAGGAAGATCCGGAGGTCGGAATGCTATTACTTGCCAAGTATGTGGAAAACCAGGTCACCATGCTTTGATATGCTATCATCGTTATAATCCATCCTATACTGCTTCAAATCCTACATCCTCAAATCATTATAACCAATACTCAGCTCATCCACAATTCCCAAATCCATCACCACAGAGACCTTATTACTCTCAACCACAGTTCAACTGGGATCAAACTCCACCTTATCATACTTCACCATCACTTGCACACTAACAGCATCAACCTGGCACTGCACATCAACCACAGCAACCTACAGCCACTTGGCCCAGTGCAAACATATCCATTCTAGGACCTCATCCACAGTCCCAAACCTGGTTCCCAGACTCTGGCGCCACTCATCATGTCACCTCGGATCCCTTTAACCTGCAACATAGTGATCTAGTTACTACAACTGATAAGCTCTTTATGGGCAATGGTCAAGGTTTGGATATCAAGTCCGTTGGTTTTACTTCCTTTCCTTCCCCTTATCAGTCCTCTATTTCTCTTTCACTCAAAAATATTCTCCATGTTCCTGCAATTACCAAAAATTTGATCAGTGTCAGTCAGTTTGCAAAGGATAACAATGTAAATTTTGAATTTTATCCTTATGACTGTTTTGTGAAATCTCATGTTTCTAATCAAATTCTCTTACATGGGGTTCTGGGACCAGATGGCCTCTACATATTCACTTCTCTCCCTGCTATTGGTTCACATCAAAGTTCTCCAAATGCTAGTCAGCCTTCTACACAGTGTCCTAAGTCTAGTGTCATGTTATCTACTTGTAATAATTCCTCAGCTTATAGTTCTACTCAATCTTGTAATCTATGGCACCTAAGACTTGGTCATTCTCATTTTGAGGCTCTTAAACTTGTTCTCCAACAATGTAATGTTTCAAATATAAATAGAAATGCTATTGACTTTTGTTCTGTCTGTCACATGGGCAAGGCACATAGACTGCCTTCTCATACTTCCAACACTGAATATAATCATCCTTTTGAATTAGTATTCACATATCTGTGGGGACCAGCTCCTATTTCCTCCTTTGATGGTTACTACTATTACATAGCTTTCATTGATGCTTGTACTAAATACACATGGATATATTTTCTTAAACAAAAATCAGATGCTCTCACTGCCTTTACCAATTTCTCTCAGTATACCCTCAATCAATTTTCCACATCTATAAAGGCCATTCAATCTGACTGGGGTGGTGAATTCAGATCTTTCACTAAACTTCTCACTGAAAAAGGAATTATTCATAGAGTCATTTGTCCACACACACACACCACCAGAATGGTGTTGTGGAAAGAAAACATCGAACTATTGTTGAAAAAGGCCTATCACTTCTATATCACTCTTCCTTACCTCTTAAATTATGGGATGCAGCCTTTGCCACCTCTGTCCATCTTATCAACAGAACACCATCCAAATCTATCTCCAATTCCAGTCCATACTTCAAGTTGTATAAATCTGTCCCTGATTATACCTTTCTCAAAGTCTTTGGTTGTGCCTGTTACCCATTCACCAGACCCTATCACAAACACAAATTAGATTTTCATACTGAAGAGTGTGTGTTCATAGGGTATTCTTCCAATCACAAAGGCTACAAATGCTTGTCATCTTCAGGGAAAGTTTACATCTCCACAGATGTTGTGTTTCAACAATCCAAGTTTCCTTACCCTACCTTGTTCACTACTCATGCATTTGTCTCTTCTCCCAGTTCAAGTCCAAATCCTTCTTCTGCACCTATCAGTATCCCATCCTTCACACACCCTATTCAAACCATTGAGTCTTCATCTTCTGACAATGAGTCTATATCTTCCCAACATCAAGATGATCATCTCTCTTTATCTACCAATCAAAATCAGTCCAACTCAAGTGAGTCAGCACATTCCTCTTCCAGCTCTACATCCACTCCTTCCAATACTGCACATCAAACTCCCTCTACCACCACACCACCTCATTCTGTTCCTATTGTTAACAATCATCCCATGAGGACAAGGGCAAAGTCAGGCATAGTAAAACCCAGACTTCATCCTACCTTACTATTAACTCATACTGAACCTAAATCAGTTAAACAGGCTCTAACCTCTCCCCAGTGGCTTGAAGCTATGCAGACTGAATATAATGTTTTAATTGCTAACAAAACGTGGACTCTTGTTTCTCTTCCTCCAGATAAACAGGCAATTGGATGCAAGTAGATTTACAGGATCAAGGGGAATCCTGATGGGTCTCTAAACAAGTTCAAAGACAGATTGGTGGCTAAGGGCTTTCATCAGAGGTATGGGTTTGACTTTGGGGAAACCTTCTCTCCAGTAGTAAAGCCTATCACCATCAGAATCTTACTCACTATTGCTGTCTCACTCAAGTGGTCCATCCAGCAATTAGACATCAATAATGCTTTCCTGAATGGTAAATTAGATGAAGAAGTCTATATGGTCCAGCCTCCAGGATTTCAAGTTCAGGATACATCTCTGGTGTGTAAGCTTCACAAGTCTTTATATGGTCTAAAACAAGCTCCCAGAGCTTGGTTTCAGAAACTCACCTCAGTTCTCTATGCAGCTGGATTCCAGCAAAGCAAATCTGATCCATCCTTACTCATCTATCTTTCCTCTCAAATTCAGATGTACATTCTTATCTATGTGGATGACATTTTGGTCATTGGGAACAACTCTACAGCTATCACACAACTCATTCACAAACTTCATTCCTCCTTCTCCTTGAAACACCTGGGAGAGCTTGATTTCTTCCTTGGAATTGAAACACACAAATTTCCAGATGGCAGCCTTCACCTCTCACAAGCCAAGTACATCAGAGATGTTCTCAACCAAGCTGGTATGCTTGAATCCAAGGGAGTCATGACACCTGATAGAGACCTAGACAGTACTAGTAACAAGAATAATATTAGTCTTTTTATATTGTAGAACAAAAGGGGTTTAGGCCTTGAATTTAATAGTTTTGGGCTAGCCCAAATGGAAAAGAATAAATAGGTGTTGGGGGTAGAATAGGGGCAGGCAGAACTTGGATCTGAACTGGGACCTGGGAGAGACCGAGGGCACTCTCGAATTTGCCTTCAACTGTATCATTTCTTTTCACTTCTTCAGTTTCAGTGTTCAATTTCAACAATTCATCGCCATATTTGCCTGTACTTAACATTGGTATCAAAGCCTCCTTCCTGGAGCCTGAATCGATCGTCAGTTTCAACGACGGTTGAAGAAGAAGATGGACAATAGCGACAGTCAGTGGAAGGAGTTGCACTATATGCTGCGCAAACTTCGTCACCGTCAGAGGCGACATAGAGACAGAGCTAGGAGCCCTCCTAGACATCATCGATCAATTGAAAGCCAGTCGTCGTCCTCGCAAGCCAAGTCTCCCATTGCATCGCAATCGCGAACTCCAGCTGCTAGCGAGAAGTCTTCGCACTCTCGAGGTAATCCACATAGTCCGCCGGTCTCTTCGCAATCGCCAGCATCTTTTTCCTGTTCGCCAGACTCTTCGCCGTAGTAGCCGCTCCTCACCTATCATCAACGACCAGTTGGAAATCGTCGTCTCTGGCCGCATGTCACAGTTCGTCGACGTTAGCCGCTCCTCACCATGTGCAAGCTTCATCAGTTTTCAGAACCCTAGGCCAAGCTGAATCCGAAAATGGATCACCAGTAACTTCATCACCGACAATGAACATTAAGTTGAGATTGTCAGAACCGAAAGAGCAGGAGGTCACAAGCGCAGATAAGTCAAAAAGGACAGGTGATAAGATTTATTATTCGACTCTAGTGAAAGTCGTGCCAAAATCTGTTGATTCATCTGAACCAGATCAAACTTCCTGGACTTGCTTTATTGGGTGAAGGCATGGCACATACACTTTATTTTTGTAGTGGAGAGCATGAAACAATTGGAAGGTTATTTGTAGGAATGTTTGTGTGTGCTGAAACAGACTACTTATCTTTTCCTTGGAGGGAGAAGTGTGTTGCTTATGCTGAAAGTCAGGACCAAGCTCAGGTGGGTGACTGTGTTATAATACTCCCGAATGCCTTGGCAAAATCATGGGTGCAGGATGATCCACAGATAATTTCATTTGAAGAATCAGTTTTCAATCGAGATGATGAATTCCTTCTTAATAGCAGTCATGAAAGAAAAATTCATGCAATAAAGAAGTTCAGTGTTGTTACCAAATTTAAGAATCTTGACAATGTTTTTGGCCCTATTTCAGATTACCGGTTGAGTAGAATCAGTGTGGATCTGGACCCTACTATTCAGATTGCTGGAATTGATATCTCCAAGAGGGAACAACTCATGAATTTATCTTTAGAGCCCAAAAGGGTTAAAGGAAGGGAAGCTGAAGTAAATGTTCAACCTTGTACAGCTAAAGAGAAAGGTGAAGCTGACAAAAAGAAGGAAGGGAAATCTAGCATACTTGATGCTTTTTCAGGCTTGTGGAACTGGAAAGAGGGAGGATCAGTATTGATGATAGTGATGTTTCAAGGTTAGGATTGAGGGACTTCCATAAGGTTGTTGGTATTATACCACAGTTGCTTATTCTGTTCTCAAGCAGTGTTGGATTCATCCTTGATCCTTTCAATGAACACAAGGGTGTTGATCTGTGGGTGGTTTTAGAGAGGGCACATATCAGAGAAATGATCAGGATGAGCTCTTTGGGTCTGGATACTGAGGATTTTCTTCAAGATAAAGTTTTGTATGATCTTTTAAGTGAGAAGCCTAATCTAAGGGCGGCCAAGGGCTTTCAACCTATGGGAGTGACAGTGAAACTGGCTCCAAGAGTTTGGATTGTCATGCACAACTGTTTGGGTGGACAGTCAGATTTTCAAATCTTTGGGATGGATATCGTTTCAGCATTGGTTGATCATTCCAACAATAAACAGTACTTTGAGACCATAATTCAGGATTTCATACAAAACTGTTATCATCAAGGTGTTCTATTCATTGGAGATGCAGATTGTTATGGTCGGAATACTAACCGAGATTCTGTGCATGCAGCGGCTATTGGTCAGATGGTGGATGATGGTGGTTTGTTATTACTAAAGATTCTTACTGATGAGGTTGGTGAAGAAGGATTATGCATATGGAGTTGGCCTGGTGGCAATGTGCCAAGTTCTTTGTTACCTTCCTTGGTTGCTGCTGTGAAGACTGAGACTTACAGTCCCGAAGCTGACTTTGTATTCTCAATTGGAGATTCTGTAAGGGATCAGATATGGGGCAGTGAAGTAGATAACGAAATTGGCCAAAAGGATCACTATGTTGACAAAGAGATTGAGTGGATACCAAAACGTAGAAAACTATCCGAGCTGAAGTACTGGGAAGGCAGAGGAGCAAGGATAAAACGTACTGGCATGGCTGTTTCTTACTCAGATACTTCCCACCTTGAGGACAAGGTGGTTGTCAAAGGGGGGAGTAATGATAGAGACCTAGACAGTACTAGTAACAATAATATTAATCTTTTTATATTGTAGAACAAAAGGGGTTTAGGCCCTGAATTTAATAGTTTTGGGCTAGCCCAAATGGAAAAGAATAAATAGGTGTTGGGGGAGTAGAATAGGGGCAGGCAGAACTTGGATCTGAAGTGGGACCTGGGAGAGACCGAGGGCACTCTCGAATTTGCCTTCAACTGTATCGTTTCTTTTCACTTCTTCAATTTCAGTGTTCAATTTCAACAATTCATCGCCATATTTGCCTGTACTTAACAACACCTATGGTAAGTACTTGTAAACTTCTGAAACAGGGCCATGATTACTACCCTAATCCTTCCCAATATAGATCCATTGTTGGAATGTTACAGTATACCACCCTAACCAGGCTAGACATATGTTATGCTGTGAACAAAGTGTGCCAATTCATGGCTGAACCACTGCAGGAGCACTGGCAAGCAGTGAAACATATTCTTAGATATCCTTCTGGGTCTATAAATCATGGAATTGTTATCAAACCTAAGATTGTCACATTTTTTCCCTTTTGATCCGTTACACTAAGATTGTCCCTTACCGAATTTGGTAAAGTTTTTGTGGTTCAAATATGGTAAAGTTTGTGTGGTTCTATATCATTTTTACTTTATTCTTATTAAACCACATAGGTTATTCATGGAATCAACTGATTCATGTTCGTATTAAACTAATTCATGTTCGTAATACACCTCAATTCTGAAAATATCACATGCTATCAGTTGTTTTTACTTCTGATGCTATTGCGCGATGCATCATGCCATTGACAGGCTAATAGGGAGTATGAGAAAAGTTAATTTGGGCAAAACGAAAAGGCACCGTTGAGTAACGAGCACAAGATCAATACTCCGGCGAGAACCAGAATCAGCATCCGGAATTTGAAGCCCAACGAAGACCTTGCCGCCGTAAAGCTTCTCCAGCCTACGCCCAACAACAGCAAATAAATACTATTCCGTCTGCAAAAACTAACAAATTCTACCTGCTAGAGTGCGAGAAGAAGATAATTCACAATTTCGCCTGTAACAGTAGAGAAATTAGTGCCGGGCGACGGAAAAAAGCGCGTTAGCATGACAGGTTTCGACTTGGATATCGTCATCTCCGCTAAAGAATCTTTTCAATAATCGGAAAACGGCTATGCCGCAAATCAGCTCTACCCACATAATACCACGCCGCTATTGCACCGCCGATCGGAGTACCCCGACGTATGTTGTGACGACTACTTCTGGCTGGCGGCGCTTTGCACCTATTTCCCGCGGCAAAGTGCCAATGCCGTGCAAAATGCGGCTGGTAATTTTTTAGTAAAATACTACTCCCTCCTAGGTCACCGTTTTATCTCCCGTTTCGGCTGCAGTCAGTTATTAAGATAGTGGGTTTTGTGTGGTTGAGCGTTGTGCAGAGGAGAGAGAAATGTGTAAGAATGTGTAAGAATGACTTTGAACCACAAATTCTTTGCCAAAAAGGGAAGGAGGAGATAATGTTGGGACGGACGAAAAAGGAAAGTTTGAAGATAATTCAGGGACGGAGGGAGTAACTACTTTCTAAAATGGTTCTTCATATTGATTTTTTTTATGATAGTATCAAACTTTAGAATTTAGATAATGATTTGGGAAGAACTACCTTCCTCGAACTTTAGATAGGAGTTTATGTCCCGCCATCGAGAAGGTTTTCATATAATTTTTTTATGACATTTTTTTAGCATCTTCTTCATTAAGTCTAGTTTACTGACACCAAATTTCAGCTAAAAATTCAATCGGGATGGTAGTCAAATGAATTTTTGAAGATAACTGTACAGTTAGGTTGCGCAATATATTTCCGAAAATCATTTGACTGTCTTCTAGATTGAATTTTTAGCGGAAATTTGGTATGAGTAAACTAGACTTAATGAAGAAGATGCTCAAAAAAATTCATCAAAAAATTCCAATGTTGTCCGGTCAAGGTAAGTCTTCTCACTTAATTTTCTTTGTCTTGCAGGTACTCAAGCCATGTGGAATGCCTCCCAATCGATCTCAATCAATTCCCAAATATCTACCAAATACTCCCAAAAATGGGAAGATGGGTCCTGTTGTTTTATCTTTGTCATGAGATGTCTTTTTATACTCATTATAATTTATATAGACCAAGTCAACTCCCTACATCATATTATTGGTCTTCAATATGTGTCGGATCATCCCAATAATTTACATGGTAAATGGAGTATTATAGAAGAAAAACATACTCCCATTATTTAGCTCAATAATGCCAAAGATGGGACCATAGGCATTTGTATTCTTCTCTAATCAACTTATCACTTATTTATGACATTAGTATTTATATTGTTGGGCTACTAGCTGTGTGGGGTTACCCTCAAGTGGGCCTAAGATGTTATTCTTGAATACTTGCTATTTTTAGTAGGTTGGGCCCAAAATAATGTTTGGGATGTCCGACCTTCCTTAACTTGTGTCGAAAGGTTTTGTATCATTATTTAGAAAATGTTGGGCTCTTATGTCTAATAAGATAGCTCAATTAAGTATTTGAAAGTACAACACTATTATGTGAGCCCAACGATAATATGATCAACCATGCATTACGTAAAACATTAATCATTTTACAATTTGTTCAATAATAGTGGAATCAATGCATACACATTAAAATTTAAATTGAAATTTAAGGACGTTGGGGTGCGGTGTCACAGCTGGAACTGCTTGGCCGGTCAGGAGCTTGGTGTGTGGTTGTGCACTTAAGGATGGAGAAGGAGTTTTCTCTTATTGTTTTTTTAGTTATTGTTTTTTCTTGATCATGTTGTTTACGCTTCTATTAGTTTGTTATTTTGTTGTAAGACTCTTGCATTATGATTTGGTGATGGAAGGTCTGCTTTAACCGTCTTTGACTCATGCAAACCCATTATAGGATCAACGAGTTATATTGCTTTTTTGAATGTGATTAACTCTAAGTCTTGTTCAAGGACTGATGGTTGCATGTGATCTTTATGTCGTTTTAACCCCTGTCTGAATGTTGTGATATCAATTTAAACATCCTTCTTTCAAAAAAGGATGACAATTGTAGTCTCTTCTACTCTTTTTTAAAATTTAGGAGCATAACTTAAACCCTTAAAGTTGTGGAAAAAAAAACCCTTAAAGTGTTTAGGAGCTATTTAGACTATAAGTATGTTTGTCACAACTAGTTACAAATTTTTTAGTAGTCGTTGACTTTTAGTGACTGAAAAACCCTTAAAAGAAAAAGACGGTAGTAGTTTGACGGATGTTGACTATCTAATTTAGCTTCATTTGGTATAAAGGTTGTTGCGACTAATTAATGCTAAAAATTTCATACTTTCATCATATGCTACTAAGGTTATTGATAGACTATAGTCTTAGAGAAGGGAGATGTATTAGTTTGCCTATTGGCTGAAGCGTAATGCATAGTTCATGGTATAAGTTCTGTTGTAGATGGTATAACCCTTAATGGAGGCAGGGGTATTAGTTTGCATATTCGGCGAGCTGTAACCCTTTGATGTCATGTTGCTCCCTACTAGACCAAAGTGCTCAGTTGAGAATGAGGTGCTAACTTGTTCCTAAGTTCGAGCCGAGGTGCCATTTTCTTCCTCAATTGGGGCAAGGTGCTCGGTCGAGGTGCAATGATACTACATGATCCGCCCGAGGTGATCAGATGAGGGGCCATCTTCTTCCTCAATTGGCCAAGGTGCAGCCTTGCTGGCTCCAATTAGACCCGGGTGTAATGAGTTGGGAGGATCTCACTTGATGTGTTTCAACTCTCAACGAGAGCACAAATGATAGAGTATAGTCTTAGAGAGAAGAGAGAATTAGAGAGAGAAGAGAGAAATAGAGAGAGAAGTGGATCTATATAATGAATTCTCAATCCTTTACATGGTTCCCCAAAGAGAGTATTTATGGGAGAAAAATGGGTTGGGCCTCCAGGCCTTGGCCTGACATGCCCAGTTACAGTAAAAGGCCAATAAATGGCTAATAAACGGGGTTTAATCTATTCTAATAGGTACATATAAATAAATAGAATATACAATAATGTGACTGCCCTCTACAGAGCGTACGTGGACCGTTGTTAGTGCTTAATAGTCGTGGGACCCGGGGGGTCCGCGTCCATATACTCTATGAGTTACTGTTGGCACAACTAGTTAAAAAGACACTTTTATGAGCTTTTTAGTAACTGTTAGCTTTTATTAACTGACAAGAACTTAAAATAAAAAAGGTAGTAGCAGTTTGATAAAAATCTGACTAATGCTAAAAGTTACAGACTGTTGGGAATATTTTATGGTGTTCAATCTAGTTAGTTATCTTTGTATTTGTGTAGTTATTAATTAATCGTGTAATACGGGCCACAAATGTGTATCAGCCCGTGGGCTTCCTTGTAACCCGTAAGTTAGCCAACTTCTCCTATAAAAGGAGGCTAACTTACGGGAACCTAACTGATCGATAGGGGCTGAGACGCAGAGGCGTAAAGATAGAAAGAGTAGGGTTGCCACTGCTCTCCTTCTCCAGGGAGAGCAGCGGACAGTTCATACGGTATACCAGATTGGGTTTTAATCTTGTCGATTTCTTTCTATCTGCTTCTATATTACTGCTTATGATTGTATGATTGTTAGAATTTTGGGACTAACATTTGGTATCAGAGCCGAGGCGTGAAACAGGTTGAATCTGTCTGCGATTTTTGGATTTAACGAAGAACTGCTCTGTTTTTTCTTCAGTTTTTCTATATGTAGAGATTTGCTCCTGTAATCTCGTTTGTGAACGAAATTTTGTAAAAATCATACTGTTGGATTCGCCTTTCAAAACCGATCCAGCAGCATACCTTTTTTTTCGTTTTCTGCAGTTTTTGTTTTTCGAAGATCTCTACATTGAGATCTCGAAATCCTCTTTTTTCACTGCTGCAGAAACGTTTTTGGCTTGAAACTGGTACAGGAGAATCTCGACTTTCAGGGCTATTCAGAACAGGTTTCAGATTTTCAAAAATCAATGTTTTCGTTTTGCAGGATCTCGACATTTAGGGACTCGATTTCTTCTTCTCGACATTTGAGATCTCGAGATTTGCATCTCGACATCTTGATCTCGAGATTCGCATCTCGACATCTCGATCTTGAGATTTGCATCTCGACATCTCGATCTCGAGATTTGCATCTCGACATCTTGATCTCGAGATTTGCATCTCGACATCTTGATCTCGAGATTTGCATCTCGACATCTTGATCTCGAGATTTGCATCTCGACATCTTGATCTCGAGATTTGAATCTCGAAATCAAGATCTCGAGATTTGAATCTCGAAATCAAGATCTCGAGATTTGAATCTCGAAATCAAGATCTCGAGATTTGAATCTCGAAATCAAGATCTCGAGATTTGTGATCTCGAGATTTGGAATTTCGAGTTTAGGAATTTCGAGTTTTGGGATTTCGACATTTGGGATCTCGATGTTTTGGATCTCGACATTCTGAAGATTTCGAGATTTTCAAAATTTCTCGATGTTTTGAATCTTTCAAAGTTTGCAGTTTCTTGGAACTCATAATTCGAATCTTGACATCCTTTGCAGTTCATCGAAGCTTTACATTATAAGGATCTCTAAATGATTCCCTGCTTATATATGTTTCATGAGTTTTCGATGTTCTGATGTTTTTCAAACAGCAAGTTTTCGAGATTATGAGGTTTTCGAAACTCCAAAGTTTTCGATGTTCAAACATTTTGAAATTCTGCAGATTTCGATATTCTGAGGTTTGTTTTGCAGGTGGATTTGGCCATTATTCTTCGAGGCAATCTCTAGAATTTTGTTTAAAATCCACCTGCTCTCGACATTCAACATCGAGCACCTCATCTTCGAAGAAATTCCTCAAAAACTCAAAATTAGAGATTTTCTGCGACACTGCACTGTTTTGGCCATTACTTTTGACTCGGTGATCCGATTTGAGCAAACTTTTTTTTGTTGGAAAGCTAACGAGAAGATCTACATTAATTCTGGGGCTATGCCCCAGAACCCATTCTCACGCGCCCTCACTCGCAGTCTTTGAGGGTCAAAACGTTAGTTTTCCGACA